CCAGCCATCAAGCTGATCCGTTTTCAGGCTGCTATCCAAATAAAATAAAATCAAAATCATCGGCACCCATCCGAGTGCAATGTTACTTCGTTTTCTGGTTTAAACTTGGGCTCAGCCGAGTTGTTTTTCCCCGGATAATGCTCCAAAGGGTTGCCATAGAACACAATGCGGGCCTTTGGCCGATAATGGGAGCTTATCTTGGGGCGTATACGGTCACGGATACAGCCGTAGGCAAATACATACACACACACACAGGCACATGGGGCGTGTGGGGGCAAAATTGTATTATGTACGGCATAAATTCGCATCGTCTGCCATTTGCCACAACGACAACGCCAACGACATCGACATCATTGACATTCATTGGATTTGGTGGCCATTCGCACCTGATGCCACTCCACCCAGCCACCCAGCCACACATATACGGCCATGGGAATGCCACCATCACCTTTCGGTGGCACAAAGTGTTTTATGGTTATTCAAATGCGGCCAGTCGACGCGACCCCATAACCGTAAAATGATTTGCCAGCCAGAAGCAGCAGCAGCAGCAGAAAGGACATGGTACGCAGTGGCAGGGGCAGGGGTAGGGTAAGTGGGGGCCAGGGCGAGCCACTCATTATGCGCTGCCGCTTTATGGCGCCCGAAATCTGTGCTACGAAAATTGTATTAACATTTTATTATGACAAGGGCGGGTGGAGGATAACGCACAACATATGCAAAATGCTGTAAAACAATATAATGATGGCCAGACACAGAAAAGGAGAGCGAGAGAGAGAAAGAGAGACAACGAGAGTGAGAGAGCGAGAGAGCGAGAGAGCGAGACAGTGGTAATCATCTTTTGTCCTAAAATTAAAGCAGTTAAAAAGTGGAAATTGAATTGATTAACATCTACATTAAATTCAATTCAAACTCAACACACACAAAAAATAAAGTGAAACAAAAATAAAAATTAATCAGATCTCAAACGATTTAAAGTCAGCGGCCAGACAGGGGGGCTGGGCGGATTCTAATCCCTCTTTCAGTTACACCCACACAGTGTCGGGGCTTGGGGCCAACCACCTAACACGGATTGCCCGCCTCAGCCACCGCCACCGCCACCGCCATCGCCATCGCCACGTAGTCTGAGTTTGAAAAATGTTTTTAAAACACTTCCCATGGACACTCTATTAAAATGTAATTATTCATTGCTAGGCCGTTGCCACTTTGCACCTGACAGACCGCACCACAGCAACACCCAACCACCCAGGCACCACACCACCCCCCCTGAGCTGCTGCTGTTTCAATTTGGCCTTCTCAAGGGGGTCTGGCAGCAGGGGTGCTGCTGTTGCTGCTGTGCTCCTGCTCCCCCCCTGTTTAGCATAAAAAATCCCTTAAAATAATTACAGTTTTCAAAACTGTTTTGGGCAACCCACACACCCCAACCCACCCCATCCGTCTCCACTCCACTCCATCGCCTGCTTAGTGCCCTGTCATCGTCCTTGTTCTGTACAAATTTTTAGTGCCTTGTTCGTCGCGTTGCTTTGGCATTTATTAGCCGGCAGAGGGGTCCGTCCGTCCATCCGCCCGTCCGTCCGTCCGTCCGTTCGTTCGTTCTGTGTGTAAGGTGTAAGACGGCAGGCAGCCAGGCCAGGGCCAACAGCCAACAACAAGTGAAATAAAATGTTAAACAAAAGCAAACAACAAGCTTGGCAATATTTTTTATGCCACCCCCCCCTACTCAACCTATGCTCGAGACACCCCATCCCTGGTCGTGCATTAAATTAAATGATGTGAAAATAATGTTGGTGTTTTTGTTGGAGAGGGCAGCAGCCAAGGCAGCAAATGTGCAAATAATTCGAAATAAAGTGTAACCAAAGGCAGGGCTGGGCAGGGCAGGGCTGGGCAGGGAGGGTGCAGACAGACAGCCACATTAATTACACACACACACACACACTCCCACTGAGACTGTGGCCTACACACACACACACACACACACTCGAATAATTTCACGCAGCACATTACTCAAATGCAAAATAAGCTGTTTGCAGTTCCCGCTTCCCATTCGCATTCCCTTCCTCAATCTCTGCCTCTGTCTCTGCCTCTGTCTCAATGGTTTTTCCTGAGAGAGTTTGCCCCACCCCTGCCCAAGAGCTTTCTCTTATTCCGTAGGCGCATTAGCATTAAATTTATTTCGATTCATCTATGTCGCACGAAAAAACCAAAAACCCCTGCCAAATGTTGTCCTGCGACAAGAATACATTTTTTGTTTGCACTAAATAAATAATTAAGAGTTTAAAAACAGCAAACACATATGGAGTAAATGCTGCGTATTTTTTTTTATAGCTCACTCCGCTCTTGTGCTCTAATTTCTACTATAAATTGCTCATCCAGATCAGAGTTCTTGCACCACTGTGCTCAGTGGGCCACTGTCTCGCACTGTTGGCCACCACAGACCACAGCATTAGCCAGAGGGCACAAGGGGTGGGGGGGGGTTGCAGACCCAAAAAACAACAGAAATGCTAAGCAAATTATCATATCAACGCCGTTAAACAAAACAAGGAGATGTGAAAATGATGCGGCCAAAAGTTCACACGCACCCCCGAGCGGCACGGCCAAGGCGAAGGCAAAGGCGAACGCAAAGGACACGGACACGGACACGGACAAGGCAGAAAATTTAAATAAATCTTAAATGAAATTCACGACAAATGGCATGCAAATTTGTCTGGGGGAGGGTGGCCGAAAGGAGCTACCACCAACCCCAATCCCCAACCGGAGATGGCCCCTGGCATTGTGGAATTTTTCAGGTGAATGCCTCGGGGGCACCGGGGCTAAACAAGCCCCTGGGACAAAGGCCAGGAAGGAAGGAAGGATGATGGGATGGAGCGGGGCGGGGTGGGCAGTCTAACAAATCACCTGGCATTATGGACCAGGGCCTACCTGTGGCCTGCGACCTTGATGATGGGGATGGGCATGAGGATGAGGATGAGGCCACGGACAGAGCACCGGACATTTGGGCCTAATGTCATGAGCCAGCGAAGGACAGATGGCCGCATCATGGGATGGAGATGGAGATGGAGAAATGGAGATAGAGTTTCCATACGTCCAGCCATCAATTGGTTATCCTCGACTTGCCTTGGAATTATCCTGTTCGAGTGGAGGGGCTCCATCATTAATATCGGAGTGAAGCAGCTACAAGGTACGACTATGGGACCTGTCCGTTGTCAGAGCATAACGAATGCTCCTTTGCACTGGGAAATAAAATATGGCCAAAAGTGCAGCATGTCACAGGAATGCCGGGGAGTCACAGGCGGCCGGGAGGGAGTCTTAAAGATTCAACAGTGAGGCAGCCCCGCCACCCAACTGGCACATGGCAAACTGTCACCGAGCTTGCTCCCGCTTCCTCTCTCGAAGGACAGGAAGGAGCTGTCCAGCCCCAGCTGGCATCCCAGCAAGACCTCGACATGTGCTGACCAACTGCCCTGCCTGACTGTCTCTTCTCTCTCTCTCTGTGTCTGTGTCCTGGCAGGTTGATTTTACCATGGCGATGCAGTTTTTATTGGTTACATCGTTAGAGAGCACAAATATGTGAGTGTGTGCGTATGTGTGTGTGTGTGTGTGTGTGCCCCACCGGGCAGACATTGTGGGTAAATATCCTGCCAAGAGCAGAGTACAAGTATCTGAATGTTTGTCCCAAATGACAGGCAGACTGAAAGCTAACAAACAGAAGAGACACTCGACCGACCCTCAAGATTCCTACACTCTGGCCAAAAGAATTTCATAATCTCCAAAGGGCCAGCCAGTCGAATGATTGCATCTATCCAATAATCCAGCATTGAGTATCTGAGTATTCTGCTGTTTTGCGTATTCTGCGGCTCCCGATCGACGCTCGGCCACTTCAGTACTCTTCACTGCTGCTGGCTCTTTTGCGGCTAATTGTTTTCCACAGAATCAAATGGCAGAAGAAAAACAAATCGAGGGCTTTCAGTTCACTCATTAGCATATCAATTAAAGGCAACACGCACATGAAACCCACACCCAACACCCGACACCCGACACCCGACATCCAGGAGCCCAGACCAGGACGAAGTTTTCTTTGAGGAAACTTTATCCAGACGCACACGCATATGCAACACACCTATACACACACACACACACACACACACACACACACACATAGAAATGTCGTTAGGGCCAAAGCTGTTTGTTCAGTGTTTGACTTTTATTATTTTAGTTAAACTTCTTTTTTGACTCCTCTCTCGCTCGCTCTCCCCCACATGCGAAGACGTAGCCGAAGCGTCGCGTCGTGGCTGGGAGAGATTGCTGAACCCAAATGAAAGGCAGGACATGTCAAGTGAGTGTGTGTGTGTGTTTGTGTGTGTGTGTGTGTGTGAATGTCTTATAGGCTTTCTGTGTGAAGCCCTGGCCCTGGCTTTATTGATATCCTGCCCTAGCGAGCATCGCTGCCTGTCGTCAGCTGCCAGGCAAACTTAATGCCTTCCTGTCTGTTCCCCCGCCCTCTCAAACCTCTGCTCTGGTCGAGCAGCTCCTGTCAGCATCTTGTAACCATACAGCCATAGAGCCATTCATTCCCCCTGCCCCGGACCCTGCCCCAGCCCCTTTGCCTTGCTTGTTTTGTTCGTCCATTGGCCACTAATTCATCAAATTTAGCTCAAAACTGAAGATTAATGACATACGTGTGGCATATTACGAAACTTGGTGACTTGATGAAATTTATTATTATACTCCTGGCCTGATCTGATCCCTTCTGGCCTTCTGGCCTTCTGGCCCCCTGGCTTTAATGCTAGTCGCAGTCGTAAACCTCAGAGCCCTCCCCCCACGACTTATGCCAATTGTTGCAACTACTTGGCTTTAGTGGCGGCGTAAAGAGCGAATAAGGAGGCACCAGTCCAGCAAAAGCAATTAGCTGAGAGCAAAATCGCACAGAGAAAACTGACATTGATGCTGTTTATTCTCAACATTCGACAGCCCAACAGAAGAGCAGAACAAAACATTCGACAATTGAGGGAAAGCTCCCTAAGAGCTGTGACATATTAGTGAATAATTTTGAAAACGTATTGCTTTGGCACCTTAACGGTGCCCAGGTAGCGGAGTACCGAATTACAGGTCATTGCCACACACTCCTTCAGCACCACATCGGTGCCGCCTCTCACCGGATAGCCGTGCAGAAAGCGGCGCATACCATTCGATGTTGGCGGCAGTTCCAGCTTCACAGAAAAATGACGCCGAGCAAACCCGCTCTCGAATCGCGCATCCGGGCAGCTTGGCAGGAGCGTGAAAATTGGCTCCAACAGGAAGCCATTATTATCGCAAAGCGGCTCCCAGAACGTGCCAATGTTTTTGAATGGCATTGCGTCGGAATTCAGATCTGATTTGAGTTAGTTAAATGCAGCAATTAATAGAGAGGGAGGGAGAGGGAGAATTGCAAGGGATTCACTTACCCTTTTCCTTCATCGCAAAGGGCACGAGAGTTTATCCTTTGCTTGCTTGCTGATATTTTATGCGGCGGGGAAAATTTGCTGTTTTCCTGACAGCCTGCGAGCAATAAAAGAAAACTTAAAGTGTGGCCATCCGCTGTTTTCCAACACTACTGCTATATAAAGGAAATTCAATGAGAACAGAGCAGAACCTTTGACTTTTCTTTTACCTGTGGTGTGGTCTCTGGCCTCCTTGCTCTAACTAATTGATACTAATGATGCCTGCAGTCAGAGTAGCAGAAATGTGTAAATGCTTTCCAGTTGAGCTAGGCGCAGCGCTGCTTCAGAATTGATCGATTGTCTCACTTTGCGGATTCAAGGCGGCGCGCCGACCGCACGACCTACAGGCGACGATGAACCAACTGGAGCTCCAATAGTGCAGGAACCTGGACCCAGCAGCCGGACAAGTCGCGGAACACAATCTGGGGGTTCGAGGGCTAGGAACACGGCAACCGGGCGTCTCAGGCGCGAGATGGCCGAAATAATGGCGAGTCCGACGGACGGATTCCAGGTGGAGTTAGTTGGGAACGACATTATGCACTGGATATTGGATATATTTTTTTAGGACAGCTACCCGCATCGTCCACCTGATGTATCATTTCGTACTGATGAATCGTACTGAAGTGTACCACTGCAACGTTTCCCGTCACGGCTTCGAATGCATTGGCATACTTGTGGATAAATGGTCGCCGGTCCTGACAGTCGAAAAGCTTATCCTGTCGATCATGTCGCTGCTGTCAGACGCCAATCCAGACGACCCCATGGACATGGACATGGACATGGCCACCTTGTACAAGAGCAACCGCCAGCAGTACGATCGCAATGCCCGCAACTGGACCATGCTCTACGCCATGCCCAGACCTGGCTTTGAATCCTCCTGATTTGGGATTAATGTTCGCACACGTAGACATCAGTATATGGGTTATCCATAACCTTATCCAGGCTAAAGCAGACATATACATGCGCCAATCTGTTCTTATATTCATGTAGAACTTGCACTTACACTCGTATTAATAAAGGGATGCAAATGGAGCTACGTATTTATTTTATACGAGTTTTAGTACTATTCTGCTTTGCAGCTGAGGATGCTGACATGTGGTTTGGATCCAACTGAATTATGTGCCCCTGTCCTTTATTGGAACTCAGGGTTTGTGGGATATGCAAGGGGAGCAATGAACTTCAAGTGCTGCCCCGAGACTCTGACAACGCCCAGGAAACGAACTGCTCCCTGGTTTGGCACATCGCTGCAGTGGCTCAGCACAAAATCGAGACTGGCACCCACCGACTCCAGTATGCCGACGAGAATGCGGTCATACGTGATGTAGATCTGCACAAACTTCTTGATGTATTTACGGATCGCCTGGAACTGCACGGGCAAGGCGGCATTGTCCTCCGCCAAAACCTCCTCCGACGGAACGCCCGAAAGCACAGTCACAGTGCACAAATTAAGAGTGGGCTGGTCACCGTCAGCCATTTTGATTGTCTGCAGGGAGAAATGCCGTAGATATTATATTTAAATTACCCATACACAGATTACACTTGCAGTTGTTTGGTTTCGGACTTATGTCTATATTTTCCGAATCGAATTTGGGCAAGAATAGTAATTTAAATGGGCTCCGAATTCTGTTTTTTCTATGTCAAATTGACAAAACAATGAGGCAGCAATTTACGTATGAAAAAAGAGTTGCCACACTATAAAAAAAAAATACGCCACCAAGTACACAGATAAGTTGCACTACGGTCACACTTTTTAGTGTGTTTTGTTTTTTTTTTAATCCGTTAAAATTTAAAATTATTTATGGAGAGCTGTGGCGCTGGTGGACGACAATAATCGCTACAGATATTGGATAAATCCATAATCCAATTGTCTAATGGAATTAAATGTCTTGCTAGTGAATGAGAAGCGGCAGATTTAGCTTTCACATTTTTGGATGTTGCATTGGCATTCATAGAGCTCGTCGTATGATAATGCTTGAGTTTTTCCACACCCCGCATTCTTCACTCTGAATTTTTTCCTCTGCACTTTTCTCTAACACTTTTCTCCCCTATCGCAGTGTCCGGTACTGTCCTCGCACCAGTTTTTATAATTAATGCTCATGCAAGTAATTAAAAATGCCAGCGGCTCGCATTGTCGTGGCTAGTTTCTGGTGTTGTTATGGTGTGGTGTGGTGTGGATGTTGTTGCCCCGTGATTGCAGCAATGCAAATAATAGCAGCGGGAAATTAATTACGGGCTCGCATAGTCGACAAATGTAAAAATGCTTACAAAGAAAGCGGAGAAACAAAACCGTGTGGAAAAGCGGGTGGGAAAATGCCAGCAAAAATAGAAAATAATAAAAAAAAATGTGTGTGGTCCCACGCCCTGGAACTCTACTTGTACATATGTATATATGTTGTGAGTAGTGATGGGGGTATGACATTAGAATAGGGTAACTTATACTTATAGCTTTAAGCCATACTAAATACAACAATAAAGCGATGTCACGCAGCTATCAGTCGAGGCGGAGCACAGCCAACAATCTATTTCTGTTTATTTCTATTTCTATTTATATAACTAGTCAGTTAGCAAGGTCTAATATCATACGGACATTGGTATATGTGGAAACAGAAGAAAAAAGGGACAGGCAGCAGGCAGCAGGCACAGCGCTTGATGCTCTCCCTCTGGGAGCAACCATATCTTCCCTTGAAGAAGGTGAAACTTCCATGGGATCCTTTTATATATCCCATCCTCATATGAGCCGCATGTGCTTAAGCCTTCCCCCTCAGGCATACAGCGGAGAACTGAAGAATCCCTGGCCAAATATATGGACATCCAGAGAACTCATTCCGGCTGTCGGTAGATAATACACTAAGGTTGCCTCCATTGTCTGCGGGCTAAAATAATAACAACAAGAACAGGCAACGCCAAGTGGGAGAAAGTAGGAGCAAGCAGAAGCAGCAGCAATATGGAAGATGGCGGAACGTTAGAGAACAAATGGCTGCTATTAACATTTCATTTAGCTGGAAAACGCTTCTCTTTCTTTCATTTCCTATTTGACTGACCGACCGCCTCTTCCTGCTCATTTTTCCTTGTTCCCTGCTTCCCTTCCCCCCTTCCACCCTTCTACCACTCTTGATTTTTTTTCTACCATTTTTTTTTTGTTGCCAAACATTTTAATTATGAGAGCGGACTCTCTACATTCTCCCCTTGTGCCTGTCCGCCGGCAGCTGGTTATTGTAAAACAAACGAAATGAACAAAGTCCCATACACACATACAAACATACATATGTATGTATGTGCATACGATCGCCAAATGAAAAAGGGAACAAAATGGACATGTGGTCCCGTTCCGCGAACTCTGCGGTTGCCCCCAGCCGGCAGCCGCCCCAGAAGTCGCCTGCAAAAAGAAGGAGAACCAGAAGGAGGAGGAGGCGGAGGCGACCACGGTCTAAGCCAAAAGAAAAGCCAACTGCGACTGCCACTGATGATGATGATGGCAATGGCTATGGCGATGGCAATGATGTGGGCCAGCGGAAAAATATATGTGGCCGGCACACATGCTCGAGATGGCCCCGTGAGCAGATATAATCCATGAGTTAAAGGTCTACAGATCTGTGTGAAAAAAGCCAGTCAAAAATGTGAAAGAGAAAGCCGATGATTTTCACATTTCCACGGGCAGAGAGAGAGGCAGAAAATGCTGCTGTTCCTGGTTCACGTGCCCTCACACGCTCCTCACGCTCTCATCTCCAGAACAAATGCATTGTTTGCCTTCTCCCATCCGAGTGTGAGTGTGTGTGTGTGTGTGTGTGTGTGTGTGTGTGTGTGTGTGTGTGTGTGTGACATGTTAACGACGGCGCTCAAATGACTTTTGTGCGGTTTAAAAACCAAACCCAAAGCCTGAACTCTAACCTCAGCAGGCGCCACCCTGAAGCCACCCGGAGAACCCCCAGCCCAACAAGCCATCAACGTCGTCATTGCCATGGCCTCGCTCTCCCTCTCCCGCTCCCGCTATGGCTTGTTCGCTGCAGCATTTTTCAATTTTATGGTTTCCAGATGAAGTGCGTTCGACCGTAAGTAAATGCCATAGCCCGTGCCTGCCCCCAAAAAGCGCCGCCTCCTGCTCCTGCTCGCGCCAGCTGCAGCTGTCATTGTTTAGCTTTTTACCCTCATTCGGGCCACAAAAAAGTGGAACTCCCGCTCGGCCATCCTTCGCTTCATTTTTTTTGTTTTGGTTTTTGTGTGGCACGCATAAAGTTGCATTTCTTTTTTGCGGCTTTTTTGGGGCCTCTACTCTGCTGCCGGACTGCTTAGCCATTGGCCTGACCAATTTTTTCGAGCTTTTTGTTTGGCCTGGACTGCTGCTCTCTCTCTCTCCGACCGAACGACCGACCAAACGACCGACCGACCGAATCGTTATGAGTTATATATGGCACTTGGAACCGGGGGCCCAGGTACAGCTACAGCTACAGTTGGAGAGGTGGGAGGCTAACTGAATTGCCAAAGCGGCTGTGAACATTTCGTTTTAATTAAGAGGTGAGGCAGCCGGAGAAACGGGGGGAATCAGAGAGACAGAAAGAAAGAGAGCAAGAGAGTGGGCTTCTCTGTGTTGTCTGTCTGCCATTCTTTTGTCACATTTCTGATCCCCGAAACTAATTGAAGTCTGTCACTTTTGGGCTTCCGCAATTGCAGTCAAAATTGCAGACAACAAAAAGAAAAAAAAAATGGTTTGTATTTTTGGTAAGTAAAATTCATGAATTCCCCGAATAAAACCACAAGTACATGCCAGTATATTCATGGTGAGTAAAACCATTCCAGAACAATTCCTATAGCTATGCTGGATAGCCCAGCTATGCCAGAACTGCTCTCAGTTGCCCTCTTCCCTTTGGCAGCACTTTTCTTTAGCGTTTCCCTTCGTTTGTTGGCTGTTGCTTGGGTGTGGCTCTCACCTGATGGCCACACCTGTCGCCCATTTGCTGTCCGGTCCGGTCCGGCCCGGCCCGGTCCTATGGTAAATGCATTTTTAATGCCGCTAAAAGCAAATGCACATTGATATAAAATTTAATAGTTATTTCTATTTAAATATTGTAGTAGCAAGTGGGGAAGTGAAGGGTAGGAGCTGGAGCAGGAGCAGGAGCAGCCCACCAGCTGAAGGATAACATAATTCTTAATATGAATAAATCAGAGTCAGGGAGTCAGAGATCCTCATAAAAATTTCGTGTTTGGCCAAATGCAATAAGAGTCAAGCGAAATGACAATCCAGCCAGCAGTTTGCAGCTTCCAGCAACAAATCTGTATCATGCATCAACGTTGACACAATTTGTTGTAGTGCTGCTGCTGCTGCTGCTCTGCTGCTGCTCCTCTTGTTTGCCGCCAGAGTTGTCAGAGTTCTTGACAGAGTTGTGTTGCCTGAATGGCGTGCAGCAATTGCACAACATAAAGCAATTGGAAGGGCAGCTGCCAGCAGGCAAACGAGAATGGAAACAGAAGAGCTGATGAGAGAGCAGAGCAGACGGGTGAACAGAGATGGATGGGGGGAGAGACTGTACTTCACTTAAGGTATTCATTCCACCGATCCAAGCTACATTGCATCATGCAGAAAGCGGGCAACCTTTAACTTTGATATCTCAATCGACATTTTATGTGCTGATTTTTACATATATTAAAAAGTATCTGTACCAACCGGAAAGCAGATTAAAATGTCTATTAAGCGGTCTTTCGGGAACCTCTGCACCAAACCTTAGCCATCTTTCTGCACTTTGTTTCGTGGCTATAATTACTCGTACAACTCAGGCAGAAATAAATGGCTAAGGGAGCCCAGGAGCATGGCATACAGCTACCCTTAACAGTTTGCCCCCTTTGCCGCTTAACACGTTGACATCTCACGGGGCTGACTCTGGCTCTGGCTCTGGCTCTCTCCTCTGGCTGCTCCTCAGTTTTCGTTTTTCTCTCGCTGTCAAGCTGCCTCCTGTTATTTGTTGCAATTTAAGTGACTTGGAATTGCAATTTATTGTTGTGCCTCACCTCACACCCAGCACACAGCACCCAGCGCCCTGACGTTTTCCTTTTTGGGCTGTAACTAAAGAAGCGGAAAAAAGGCGGAGGGTGGGGGGTAAATTGTTGCGAAAGCAAAAGAAATATGAGAATTTAGTGTAATGTTGTTTTTATTGCGGGAGAATTCATGTGCAGAATGCGTAGCAGGGCACTAGCAGGTCTCCCCGCTGCATACACTTAGCGCTACTCCCCTCGAAATCTACCACACCCCCGTCTAACAATGGAATCACCTCACTCGGATCACCTTTCGGAACAAGACAAGCAGCCATTTCCCCATAAGCGGTTCCTCCCCCCAAACAAGTGACAATTTCTGCTTGAAAATTAAGATTAAAATTTTATGATTAAAATAATTTTTATACCCGTACTCAAAAAAGAGTTAAGGGGTATATTAGATTTGTGGGAAAAGTGGATGTGTGTAACGCAGAGAAGGAAAATTTTTCGACCCCATAAAGTATATATATTCTTGATCAGCATCAATAGCCGAGTCCATATAGCCATGTCTGTCCGTCCGTCCGTCCGTCCGTCTGTCCGTCTGTCCGTCTCGATGAGCGCCTGGATCTCAGAGACTATAAGAGCTAGCGAAACCAAATTTGGTTTCCAGACTTATGTGATATCACACTGCTACAAGTGTATTTCAGAATTTCGCCCCGCCCCCTTCCGCCCCCACAAGGAACGAAAATCTGTGGCAGGCACAATTTTAAAGATACGATAAAACTAAAAACGCAGTATCGTAGAGAATGCCCATATCTACCAGATTGCCGAATCTGAATTTGATCGGATCATAATTATAGCCAGAATGAAGAAATTTGCAGGTGCTTCCCCCCGCCTCCACCAGCCAGAGACACGCTACTCTATCTCTGTCTCGCTCGCACACTCTGTCACGTTCAGTGCGCGAGCAACCCCTAACGGAGGAGATGTAGAATATAAATGGTACATCTATAATCTACATGTTAGATGTAGAATATACATAATATATGTAGATGTAGATAACAGATGTAGCAAAAAAATGTAAAATGAAAAATTTTTTTTTAAATTCTAAAATTCTAAAAAATTATATGCCCAAAAATGTATATGCTGACAGAGTACGGGTATAAGTAGAGTCGCGTCCCCAGAAGCGACTCGCACGTTCCTTCTCGTTATTTTTTAATTCTAAATAATTATATGCTTAAAAATGTATATGCTGACTGAGTACGGGTATAAGTAGAGTCGCGTCCCCAGAAGCGACTCACACGTTCCTTCTCGTTGTGACTAGTGCCTAAAACATAAATAAATCTTGCAGCACTAGCATAAAATTAAATAAATAAATATAAATATATAGTTAAGACGAACATATAATATGAAGATACATAGAATCGAAAGGGTAGTGCTTCCATCTTCTATAGTTTAGAGCCCATCAATGGTCGGTTAAACTTAGTGTAACAATCTTTTAACAGGCACTTGAGACCGTTCATCTATGTATAGCATGTACAGATACGTAACGTAACGTTACGCAACGTTAGATAGTGTGAGAAATGACTTCTTTTATTGACCAGGAAAACGTTTGACTTGGGTTTATTTTGCCATTCGAATTTTGATTGTCCTGCGTTGTGTGCGACCGGGCAGGGCATTGTGTCCCTTTTTTGTGCTTCGGATGCGATATTGTAAATTTCTTTATATTTGTCAAGCCAATTGAAAAGTTTTGCGCAACTTTGTGTTTATTTAACACGCCCTGCCACAGCCACACAAAGCCCACATGCACGAGGCACAGCATAGGAAAGGACAGGACATCTTCAGAGGCCAAGAAAGTCAGTGAAAGAAAGTGAGACGGTGTGGCGCAGTGGCAGTGGCAGTGGCAGTAGCAGTGGCGGCTGTCTCTCTATTATTGAGGCCGGACTCCCCAAAGTCCAGGGGACAAAAAAACTTTCCCTGGCCCGGGACATAAATAAGGAATTGTATGGTAAATGGCCACCAAACAACCGAATGGCATCCAAGCAAGCAAACAAACAAACCAACAAGGAAACCAACAACCGAATGAAGGGAAAACATCGTGGAAAATAAAGCTGAACAAGTCCCGGGAATTATTTCGTAAAGAAGAAGTGGAAACAATAAGCATCTGTGAGGGGGGGGGGATGGAGGAAGAGGGACTGGTGCCAAGTGACCACACAGTGATTTACGCTCATGAAATTGAGTTGTGGCGCAAATTATTTATGAACAAAGCAAAAGCAGAAGCAGAAGCACACCCAGGAATAATAAACCCGAAGAGGAGTACAACAAGGGAGGGACAGACAGACAGACAGACGGCCACAAAACGAGGATTGTGATGTCGCCTCTACACTTGGAACAATATGCAGTTTGTTGTGGAATCGGTATCGAAGTCAGACCCCAGGGAGAGACCCCCCCCCCCCCCCCCCCACACCCCCACAAGAGGACTCTGACTGGCCAGCCCCTTCTGCGGACAGCTTAGTGCTCGAGGCATGGGGCTCGCCATTGGCATCGCATCGCACCGCTATCGCCAGGAGCCAGGAGCCAACTTTTTCTCCAAAAAATAATTTATTAGCGGCAAACGAGGAAAAGTTTTATGAAAATTCAAAAAACATAAGAAAACACACAGCAAATACACAAAAAAAAAAAAAAAAAAAAAAACAAAACAAAAAGCAAACGAAACAAAGGAAAAACAAGTGGAAGTACGAGTAGAAGTAGAAGTAGAAGTAGCTTCTTTACGAGCATCCCCACATCCACCCCCCCTCCTTTTGGCCAGCATTTCATTGTCAGTCGAGCTCCGTGCGCATTGTTTAATATTTTCCGACTCTGTCAAAAAGTTGTTTGGGGGGCAACTCCGAGTGTTCGAGTGAGCAAATTTATTTACTATCATGTCCGCCAATGAGCCGTGTCGTTGGTTGGGGAATATCCACTATATGATGCCGTTTGGCTGCTGCTTCAGCAGAGGAATCCCTCGAAACAGAGAAATACTAACGCTGTATGGCATTCTTCTACCAATTATTTAATGTATGTATATATGGTAGATAGTGGAGTTCATTCTTCAGTTATCCTGCCTATGGGTTAAGGGTATTCAGTGCTCGCTTTGGGCACCAAAAGCCGAGCGCAGGTTACTCTGGTTATTTATTGAATTTGGCACACAATTGCACAGAAGTTACCCAAAACCCTCCAACTCACAGCACACGGCACACGGCACACGGCATTCCCAGGCCCCACGCATTCAATTGCTGTGTAGAAAATTTATGAAATTTGTTTGCCTGCGTGGCGGAGGGAGGGAGGGAGGAACGTGGGCGTCAAAGTTTTCTTACGAGTATATCTGTCGGGTCAGGGATGGGGAATGGGACATGGGACATGGGAAATGGCACTGGAAGTGGAAGTGGAGCCATGGAGGTGCCAATGACACTCGCATTACGCGTACGCCCTGTCCCATGCAACAACTTAGCTTTGTTCTAAATTACGTATACGCAGTGTGGAGCGGTGCGGTGCGGTGCGTTCGATATTATAAGCATTTGCAATGCAAATGGAATATAGAATATATGTATGTATAGGCAGGTAATGCCAGTTCGTGTGTAAGTATATTTTTAGAGCAAAACAATTTCCGTTGCTTAGCAAAAACCCCAACCCCAACCCCAACCACAATCGCCCACCCCCACCCCAGCCCCATCCTCTGTGGCATTGTATGCAAATGAGTAGAGAATGTCGTTGAAATTTCTCATGATAATATAGCATTAATGAGCGGCATTATTTTCCCCAGTGTATCCACATTATGAGTGTATATCTGTGTGTGTGTGTGTGTGTTTGTTTGTGCATTGTCTGCCAATTAATTGAGCGAAACCTTCAATGCGAAATATATATCGTAGAATAATTGCAATAATTAAAACCAGTTTCTGGTTTAAGCATTCCCCAGAAGCAGCCAGCGGCTAGCAGCCAGCAGCCAGCGGCCAGTGCCACAAATATTCGATATATTAAATATGTATTATGTAAAGAGTAAATTCTCGGGAATCTTTCGAGCCTGTTTTCATTATTAGGATTTCTTTTTCGTGGGCCGGATCAACATGCGCACGTAGCTGAGGGAGCCCGTGGGCCCCGGCACGAAGGTCTTCCACAGTATGCCCTTGTAGTAGCCAATCTCATGGCCAAACATTTTCTGGAAGGTGCCAAAGAGGTTGCTGAAAAGAAACAGGGAGTCCTCAATCTCAATCTGCATTTGTGCCAGTCAATATCAATATCAATATCAAGGTACCTCTCGATGCACTCGCGGCCATACCACCATGCACCCGCATGTGTCCTGGCGCAGTTCTGTCCGTTGTCGTCGTTGTCCTGGTCGAAAGTGGTGAACTTCTTGCCCGCATGGTAGCGCAGCGAGTCGCCGGCATCGCCCTTGTAGGCGCCCAGCACATAGAGCAGATACTTCTCGGCCTCGCTGCCAATGCTGAAGTGATCGTAGATGGCGAAGCGCTGCTCCCGCGTCTTGCTGCGCATTATCACGAGTAGCTCGTGGTGCTCGCTGTTCGTCAGCCGATTCAGCTTGTCCAGCCCAATGAAAAACTCCGAGTTGAGGGCCCCAAAGCCAGCCTTGTAGTTCTGCCAGTCGCGATTGAATTCCTCGCTGCCATCGAATCTGTAGGCGATCACCAGCCAGCCCCCGCCACGCTCTTCCTGGTCACAGCTCACGAAGAACGGCTCCACATCCTTGGCCACACGGATGAGCACCTGGCCGTGCTTCTGGTCCCAGCAGTTGCGGGGCGTATCATCGCTGGGCGCGGCCGGTGCCAAGGCCTGTACAATTGCTGGGACGGGACGCAGTCTGGCAACACGAAGGAGCACAGATGACAGATTCAAGAGCAGGGAATGAACTGAGGCAGTACTTACGATCGGGTGCCAAGTGCCTCACTGGGCGCCTGGTTCCTGTACTCATCGATCAGCTGCTGCAGCTCGCCCAGCTCCGCCTTCAGTGTCTGCAGCTCGTCCGCCATAAACTGGATGCTGAAAGGAGAGGCTCTGGCATAAAGAAAGCATTTCCATTGATATCACGCAGCACTCACCGCACAGCCAGGCCGCCCAAGGTGCTGACGGGACAGTCGGTGTCCTGGCCAGACGGAAAGTAGATCAGGGAACAGCACTCAGGGAGCATTAGCTACATGTACTCACATTAACACCGTGTAGGAACGGCTCCATCGAGTTCCTCATTATCACGGAGGACAGAGACTGAGACAGAGGCTTCTCTGGCATTGTGTTGGTGCTGTTGGTGGTGGTGGTGGTGGTGCTGAGGCAGGCCAAAGCCGTCACGAGCGCCTCCAACGCCATGCTGATCCAATTGGCACACTCCACTTGCGCTCGATCGCAGATTGAGCCAACGACTGCGACTGCGACGCAGTTGCAACCGCCCCGACAGTCAGTCGCTGCTGCTGCTGCTGCTGCTGCTGTTGGCTGGTTGGAGATGCTCCCCCATAAATCACAGGCAGTGATCACTGATCACTGATCGCAGATCACTCCCAGTGGCAGCAACTAGATGCTGCTTTCATATAAATGATAAGACAGAACTGCGCACCACTGATCGGATCGCGTTTAGCAAACTCGTTTGCAATGTGGATGCAAACAGCAGCAGCAGCAGCAGCGGCAGCGGCAGCAGGGAGTGAAAATAAATCTAATTGCATGATGACCTTTGTGGGCAGTCGATCGACCAGTCAGTCGATCAGCCCCCCCAGCCAGTGGCCAGTGGTCAGTGGTCAGAGCTCAGTCAGTGAGACATGTCGCAGATGCTGCAGCTGGACGCCTTGGTCATGGCCATGGCGTGCCTTACCACAACGCAAACGGATCTGGGCGGTGGACTGGGCATGGTGCCGCCCACTCTGGATAATTCGGTGAGTCATTAGAGGGGAGAACCCCTTCACCTGCTGCTCTACATCTCACTCTCTCTCCCTCTCTCTCTCGCTGTCTCTATGGGCAGACCAGCTGTCCCATCTCTGCCTTGAGTGGCCTCACCACACGCATCCAGGCTTTGACCAATGACATTGCGAGTGTCAAGGAGCAGATTGGCGGCCTGCAGGAGCAGCTGGTGGATCTGCGCAGGAGTGGCGGACCCGCTGGCTATCCAGGATTGGGCTTGGGCTCACCGAACGCCATCGGGTCGCGACTGTAAGCTGTGCAGGGCTGGGCGGCTGACTGATACATTAATAGACCCGACTCCCATCTCTCTAGCCTGGATGTGGAGCCCCAGCTGCTGGCGGCCCAAGGCCCCGTCGCGGGGGGTCCCACAACGCCGAGCAACTGCATCAAGCAGCAGCACGGAGTGGTGCGGATACGCGTCCGTGCCAATGTGGAGCCATTCTTCGTGTTCTGCGACCAGAAGGTGCGCGGCGGCGGCTGGATCATGGTGGTCAACCGATACGATGGCAGCGAGGACTTTAATCGCAAGTGGGCCGACTACAAGATCGGCTTCGGGCCGCTCACCACCGAGTTCTTCATTGGGCTGGACAAGCTGCACCAGATAACCAGCAGCGACAACTACGAGCTGCTGGTGCAGCTGCAGAACCGCAAGCAGGAGCTGCGCTATGCCCTCTACGACCACTTTGGCATCGGCAGCGAGTCGGAGCAGTACCATCTGAATGTGCTCGGAAAGTATCAGGGCGATGCCGCCGATGCACTGAGCCAGCACACGGGCAAGAAGTTCAGCACCCAGGACAGGGACAACGACGAGAGTGAGGCCAATTGTGCGGCATCCCAGTCGGCGGCCTTCTGGTACGGCAGCTCCTGCAACCTGAGGTGCGTACCCCCACCCCCAGAGTTCCCCTTCTCCCCACCTCACCACCCACAACCGACCACCGACCACCCACCAATGGCTTTCATTTGTTCTTCCTTGTTAGCAATCCGTTTGGCTTGTATCAGCGCCTGCTGGAACGCGATGTGGACGGGTACAAGGGCATTCTGTGGCGCGGCTTTCTCGATGGCCCCAAGGGCTCCCTGAAGATAGTACGCATGATGGTGCGCCCTCGCAGCGGTTCCTCCTAGAGGGGCATACAATATACCAACGTAATAAATACGGATTATATATTTTCACAATTTTAACGCATAACAAAGAGCCCAACAGGATACAAATACAGATAAGATACGTAAAAAAAAACAAAACTGATTATTGAAACATAAAATATATTAAAGAAATTCGATGTTAGACTTCGTTGAGCTTGTCTGCCCCCTCTGTGGTGGTGGTGGTGGTTGTGGGTGTGGTGGTGGTTGTGGTGGTTGTGCGTCTGGTTGTGGTTGTTGTTGTTGTTGTGGTGGTTGGATCCTCGTAGCCCTTGACCACCAGAGCATCCCCAAAGACGGGCTTGAAGAAGAGCACAAAGCGGGAGTAGCGGCGTGCAGAGCCCTGTGGGTAGGGGAAGGAACAAAAAACGAAGCTTTTACTCAAAGCTTAAAGCTCAAAGTTCTGCCAAAGCTCGCGACAAAAGCTCGCTCTCTTGGAAGTGCATTCAGATGCGTTCTACTTTATCGCTCTTACCATGATCAGGCGTGACAGCGACTTGGAGATATTGGTGATGGTCTGGAAGGACTTGCTGAATAGCTCGCCGGGCAGCTCGAACGAAACGTTGTCGCTGCTGATATCCGCGGCATCGCTCAGGTCTTTGCTCCCGGCGCGTGCCCGCCTGCGTTTGCTCTGCGAGAGATAGAGATAGAGAGAGAGAGAGAGAGAGAGAGCGATGAGTGTGAGTTAGCCAACAAAGATACACAGACAGAGACAAACAGCCAGCGGGACAGACCCAAAACCAAACTCACAGCCATCCCAAACCCAACCCACAGCTGCCGACAAGGCCATGGGAGCCATGGGAGCCATGGGCCGCCAGCGAATTGAACACCAACAAAAAAAAAAAATGTTCGTTTTTGTGTGAATGTTTTTCCTTTTATTCATTTATTTTGGATCGCCATAGAGTCGTGGGTTTTGATTGATATCGTATAGTAATCGTATTTATATATGCCGAATGTATGTACAAACATGAAACAATGCGTAAAGTTGAGCTTAACTAAAAGGTGTGACAAAACAAAAAAGGTATAGGGGTATAACGATTCGAGCGAGGGGGGGACAAGATTCCACGAGATTTTTGCTCCGCATTCACGCCGCATTCCATTCCATTCCATTCCATGCCATCCAGGAGTGTGAGTGAATCTAAGTATTGGTCGAAGGATAACGATAAATTACAAGGCTCAACCAGTTAGCGCTCATTGCTCTCTCTCTCTCTCTCTCTCTCTCTCTCTCTCTCTCGCTGCCTGTGACTCCCATGTGCTGCTTAGTAGCCCGCCTCGTCAGAGTCCGGCGATGGTGTCGTTGCACCACCAATGCCATTGACACCGCCCGAGGAGCCCTGCAGTATGGGGCCGGAGAAGCTCAAGAACTTGGAGACAACATTGCCCAGGCCGGCATTGGCATTGCCATTGCCCGCCGAGGAGCCACTGAAGGCGGTGATGGTCGTCAGGACGCCAGTGGTGATGTCATTGGCAATGTTGCCCAGCGAGCGGATCTTGGGCGAGACGACGGCCGTGATCAGGGTCTGGAAGTCCTTGATGGGCACCGGCGACTTGATGTCCCACTGCTTGTTCTTCTCGATATTGGCGCGGTCCAGCTGCTCGATCACGCGCGTCTTTGTGTCCAGGAAGTTGTCGATTTTCTGAGGGCAAAACACACACACACACACAAAAATCGATCATATCATATCTATTGCATCTAGCATCTGGAGGCGATCAAATGCAGCTATACTTACACCAAAGACGAAGCCGAGCACGGCATTCTTGGCCTCAAATGTCGCATCGGGTAGTTTTCTTTTGTTGCGCTCTTGGCCGTCGCCCAACACCTCCTGGAAAAAAGGAATCGAATCGGAGAACAGAGATTGGCGGGGGGCTTCGCTTCACACAGTCGGCATCCACTAGCTGGACCATGAACTTTCAATACGTCTGTTGTTGTTGTTGTTGTTTCTGTTTTTGTTTTTGTTTTGTTTCTTGACTAATTGCCGTTCATTTACGAGTATTTTGTGTGATTCTTTGCCCCAAAAACTGACTTCAAGTTTAATTGCTGGTGGCAAAGAAGACAACAACAACAACAACAACAACAACAACAACAGCAGCAGAAAATGCAAGAAATCAGCCGAAAAAAAACACACACACACACTCGATAATCTCCGACACTTAAGGCCGGTTCGACTTGACCCAATTTGAGGCTGGCTGGCACAAGAAAAAACACACACAACACACACATTCATTCACTCAAAAAACATTCATACATTCAAACGTATTCATACATAAATAATTATATCACTCATACTCATACTCATGCTGCTGGTGCTGGTGCTGCTGCTGGTGGGGGGCTTTGGAGTCTCGACTCGAGCACGGACCTCGATCATTCTAAGCCGTCGATAACTTGCAGTACTTTTGGCCCGCTTCTCGATCGACCCCACCGATCCGCACTTAGCATTCAGGCCATCATCGGGCTCTGGCTCTGACTCTGACTCTGGCTGGCCGGCTCCAAAACATGCGATATGTATGCAACTCGAAGCCGAAATCGACTCATTTCAAACCAAAACGCATAATCCAAGCCCCAAGACTGTACGGCAGCAAAACGAAACGAAACAAATCAAAACTGAACCGAAACTATTCCGAGCCAATGCGATCCGATCGGAGCTCTACTAAGCTGCTGGGCTGGTGCTTAAGTGCAATCGGATGTGACTCGGCGCGTACTCAACTCTCTGTACTTGCGACCTCTGTATTTAATTTTCATTTTAATTTTGTTTGTTTTTGTTTTTGTTTTTGTTTTGTTTTGTTTTGTTGTGACGTCATTTGCCCTTCTCCTCGTACTCTCTTCCCTTGCCCACAGACTCTAACGAAGTTATGCAATTATTTGTGGGGCAAGTGATTTGAATTTCAATTCGCAGTTCGGGAAAATCACTCAGAGCTGACTCAAAGACCAACTGCTCCTCCTCCTCCTCCTCTGGCAGAAAGAACTTTAGGTGCTGGGAAATTTCAATCAAGAGCGCAACATGCACACATATCTAAATGGGTTATGTCGAGAGCTCGCAGACTGCCAAACAGAGTGGTAATTCTAAGGAGAGTTGAAGCACTTTAGGCCATGGTTAGACCCAACCCTTTGTGCCCACTTCTATTGTCATTTTTTGATGGCCGAAATTTGTGCAATTCATTTTTTGAATGTTGTTGCATTGTTGCATGTATTCGAGCAATAATTTAGCAAAATCTTTGCCCCATTGTTCTGCCGTTCTCCCACTTGAGATTACCCAATTTGCGGTCCAGTGCCTCTGGCGGCACCAGCCCACATGGTTGTTGTTTCTGCCTATGTCTAGTTTTTGTTCGAAAACCTAAAACATTTGCCTGGCAATTTATTAGTTTAACAAAACGCTAAACACATTACGCTGCCTGTTACCCCCTCCCATTCCACACTCCACACTTCCCACTCCAACGTTTCATTGTCTTTGGTTTTTTTTGGTTTTGTTTTTGTTTTTGTTTTGGTTTTTTTCTGAAGTGACAAACAGTTTTCAAAAAATAAACGTGAGCCATGATTTATATATACCACAAATCAGGTCAGTTGTTGAAAGCGCGACACGGGACTTGAACAACGGTGCAACGGTGAGGGGCAAACGGGAAGGGCAGCCAGACAGACAATTGATGGGCCTCAAAGAGGTAGCTAGGAACTGAAAGTTAAACCTAAACAAATCCTATATATATTTTAGAATATTTTTCAATATTTAAATATTTATATTATTATTTGTAATAATAAATCCCATCTGTCATTGTTTTTATTCTCCCACTATTCAGATTCAGATTGAGAACTTTGCGGCTGTTCCGATTCCACTGGAATGGACTCCTAATTGATTTGGCAATTGATTTGTGTGGATTCAATCAAATGTTTACAACACATTGTTGAATCAATAAGCACGAAGAAGAGCAAAGAAATATATTAACAAACTGTGAAGCCGCGGAAACGTTTCACAACCCTGGAAATCAGCAGAGAGAGAGCGAGAGAGCGAGAGAGAGAGAGAGAGAGAGTGAGTGCAGAGAGGGACAGCGAAGACAAGTGATGAGGTCTCCGCTTGGACCCTCTCTCTTTCTCCTCTTCTCTTTCTCTTGCTGCTACTGCATCTCCCTCTCTATCCCGCCGAGGCGTTGGCTTTGGTTCGGTTTCTGTTGGGCTTTTGGGTTTTTGGTTTTTTTTTGGGGAATGGTTTTGAAATGTTAACGTAGGTCGTTAACAAGTTTCGTCGCGCTCAAGGTCGTCATGTCTGGCGTCTTGTATTCGGCAACGAATTTCGGATTCGAATCGATTTCTTGTGCGATATTCGATATTAACATATTCGCAATGAAAATGGCCCATAGAGCTATGGGCGATGGGCGATGGGCGATGGCTGTGCCAGAAGTCGGTTCAATGCACCAGGCCGCAAAAATTAGCAGCGGCTTACACAACAAAAGCAACAGAGCCACAGAGCCACAGAGCCACAGAGCCACAGAGCAACAGAGCAACAGCGAAATGTGCAACAAGCCGCAGAGAGCCGCAGGCAAAATTCACTTTCACGCCCCAGCTGCCCCCAAGGAGACGAGACAGACAATCAAGTTTCCCCATGCCACCCCTCGCTGTCTCTCTCTCTCTCTCTCTCTCTCTCTCTCTGGCTGTATGTTGGCATGCTGTCTCTTTCTGGTCTGACTTCCTTGTTGGGTGGCTTACAGTTGGGTGGATGGGTGGATGGGCAGATGGGCAGATGGGCGGATGGGTGGATGGGTGGATGGTTGGATGGTTGGTTAGGGGCTTTACCTCTGCATTGATGGGATTGAGGTCCGGGTCGCTGCTGCTGAAGCCGCTGTCCTGGAGCGTGGACTCCAGCTCGGTGTTGAGCTGCTGGGGCGAGGGCGCCGATAACGATAGCGTTAGCGATAACGATAGTACGGCCAGCATCAGCATCGTTTTGCACTTTGTGTACTGCATCTTTGTGGACTTCCTTTCGTTGTAAATTCTGCAATTAACCAAAAGGAAAGACTTATAAATCGTTTGGCACACAATTTAAATCCGATTTTCGCGGTTACTATATTTTATTTTCTGGGGGGAAACTAGAAATATTTCACCCCATTTTCGAGGCTACACACCAAACAAAAACACACAGAAACTTTAAGCTCTCGCAGGCGAGAGGTAAACAAAAACCAAACAAAACAAAAATATAACCAAGATGTTGAAAAATTGTTTAAAGTGTTTGGAACGGGCTGAGGTTTTTCTTGATTATTTTTCTTTGATTCGATTGCTGAAAGCCGCGCCGCCAGATACGCGATACTAGCACGTTCACTAACTTTAAGCAAATGACTGCAGACGAAAGTTACTTCAATGATTTAGCAGTGGCCAAAAAATCGGTTACACAGCCCACGGCGCCACGGCGCAGGCGCAGCCCCCGAACGCGTCGGAGCTTTTTTTTTACCGCGCTGCCTGCTGCCTGCTGCCTTGGCTGTCTGGGCTGCCTGAGCTGCCTGAGCTGCGATTGCTGCTGCTACTGCCGGCGTCAGCGTCTTCAAACCCGAAAATAGCAGCAACAAAAACCACAACGAAATCCATCCAAATTGAATTTTATTGCGGCGCTAACAACGCCAGCGTCGACGTCCGACGTCCGACGTTCGACTCAAGCGTCTGACCAACTCGTTTTTGAGCGAAAAAAAAAGCGCTCAATAAAGTGCAAAACCGAAGAGCTGTTAAGTCACTCTGTCTGTGCTTTGGCTGTTTGTTGTTGGCTGCTGTTTCTGCAATGCGCTTTTAATTTGTACTTTTTGGCTTTCAATTAAAGCACAGCCACACACAACCAGCCAGCTGGGAGGCAGTCGGCCACAGGCACAGGCACAGGCACAGGCTACTCACTCGGCTATGGTACTGTTGGTTATACGATGCGTATGCGCAATGGAATTGTGTTTAATGCATTCTCAAGCACTCTTCGGATTGGATTGTCATCACTGCCGAATGGCGCTAAGCCGCTTACATAAGGGTGCGAGTGGACAAATTTGTTGGTTGGTTATTTTCCACTTGGACAGGTTTTGGGACAATCAAATGGAAAGGAAATGGAATTAACCATTATAAATGTCTTCTATAAACCATTTGATGGCTGTTGGATCAGCCACAAGTGTTTGGTAATATTTTCTACCATACTTTAGGGCGCACAAATAGAATAAATATCTCTGAAAGTAATTCTTGAGCCTCTGGCAAACCTTTTTAGAGACAATTGTTGGATGCACATCTAATAGAAATCCAATAGGACTTTTAGAACATATATTTATGATGGTAGTTATAAGTATTTTTGATGGAGTTTTTTCCATTCAAATGCAGAATGTGGGGCGCCTGCTTTAGGGCGGGAAATCTTTGCTGGCATAATGCAAATTGCAGTTCCACACCCATGAGTGCAATAAATTGTTCCTTAGAATTATACACAACTTCTCTGCAATCGAATGACGATCGACTACGGCTACGGGCAATTTAAAGTTCCCACTGAAGATCCTTGACTCTTAGAGCTGATTAAATTAGCGAAAATTTATGCGCATCCAGCAGCAGAATGTAGCCTCGACAATGTGCTAACTATGTAAAATGGCATTTTAATGCGCCTTTTTTTTAACGATTTATGACCAATATAAATTATACATATTTATGGACTAACTGGAGGCTAGAAATTCTCGTAATATATGTTGGAAAATAAAAAAAAAAACAAACCAAGCTAAGCCAAGCCAGGCCAAACCAAACAAAACCAAGATCGAAAAAAAGAGAATACGAATACAAAGTAGAGAAAAGACAAGTCGTTTTCCTTCAGACGCCAGAGGGAGACCGATAAATTGGAGTCAAAGTGCGCGTATTGAATTCAGACTTAAGAAACTTAATAACTGGAATTGCATAGACTCAGATACGATACGATACGATACGATACGATATCCAATTCAATTCAATCCAATCCAATCCGTTTCGATGTGGCCCGCATGTACATGCATATCTTTACTCGTATAATTAGTCACTTCGATTGTGGTGTGTGTCCGTCCATATGCTGGCCTGCCGGCCTGCCGCGAGCTAAATTCTGAACAATTAACTAAATAAATCGCAGCCAATTTCGATTCCAATTCCAATCCAATCTGTTGCTGATTAAGTCAATTTTTGAGATTTAAATTGGGATAAAGTGCCGTCTATCAAAATGAATTCATCTGAAGTGACTCTGAGACGGTGTTTATGCTAGACAATTGGATTATTAATGAGCGTTTCTTGCTGTAGAATCACATCACATTAATAAAGCTTCTCTATAAATAAGTAAAATAAATGAAAGCAAGGATCATCGTGGGTGAGTTTTATGAGTGAGAGGATCAGTCAGTCAGTCAGTCAGTCAGTCAGTAAGTCAGTCACTTAATTACGAGTATGCTACATGTCACGATCTTCGGTTCCCATTCAGATGGCATCGCAGACCGAAATTGCCAGTTGACACTCGGGATGGGGCGAAACCTTTCTAATTAGCCCCGGACAGCACTTAACCCGTTTTACCCTGTCGCTGACTCTGACTCTGAATGAATATATATGTATGTATGCACGTATGGGTCTTGGGGCTGCAGAAATCAGGTGAACCGCTTTATGGAGTCAACAATTTGCTTATCAATGTGCGAGCAGCGGACTTAATCAACGCCTGGGCTCAAGGTCGATTCGGTTCGGGTCTGGGAACGAAACATAATCCTTAATTGACATTAAGAGGTGCTGCCGCACCTTGCCCCAGCCCCAGTCCCAGCCACAGCCCCAGACATGGCGACTGGTTGCTGGTTTTTGCTGTTTTATGCAACATTTTATGGCCAGACGATGACAACAAAAGTGAAGCCAAAATAAAGCAAAATTAATGCGCGCATCCGTTGAAATGACAATATAAAAAATGTACAAATTTCAGCAAGCTCACAAAAACAAAAACCAAAAACCAAAAACCACAAACTAAAAACCACAAGCCGCAAAAAAATAAAAACAAAAAAACTACAAAAACTAAAAAGGGAAAAAGGCGAAAAAGCCAAACCCAAAACCCAAAACCCAAAATGCAAAGTGCAGGCAGCACGCACAACTGTCATCGTTTTTGTAGGTCACAAGGTCGGACCAGTTGACAGAGCGCAGCCAAGTAGAAGATCCAACTCCATCTCCGTCTCCATCTTCATCTCCATCTGCGTCTCCGTCCTCCACACAGACCTCTGGCAGGTGTTTCTTGCGGAGAACCCGACTGTGCCCTGCTGTCGCTGCTCCTATGCCTGAGTGCCTCTTACTTTTGCCCTGCTTCAACCTTAGCCAAATTAACTTTCAATTTTCAATCTTGTTTGCCGCTGATGCTGCTGCTGCTGCTGCTGCTGATCTCGTTCCATCGGCAGGGAATACAAATGAGAAAGAGCTAGAGGAAAGCCCCAGAGGGAATCAGAGAATCCCCAGCTGCAGGCAGGCCAATCTTCTACTCATGCTCGTTGCTGGACTAGTTGCATTCAATCAGTCGCTGCACAATTAACAAATTATAATTAGCCATGGAAATTCAATTACAGTTTGTTGTCTTTGGGTATTTTTATTGGCTATTTGTGTGTGGCTGATGCTGATGCCGATGCTGTCGCTGTCGCTGTGGCGCCTCAATTAGAACGCCATAATTGCTGGCCAATCAGTCAGTCAGTTAGTCTCCCGTCTGCTGTCTGCTGTCACCCAGAGCGTGGCTCATAAAATTTATGACAGACTTTGTTCTGCTGTTGCATTTTATACGAACTAATCTCGAACTAAGCCGCCGCCTTGTCACACAGCGTACGAGAGTACGTACATGCTATGCGAAAAGCATTTTGACTTGGCCAAGACCCCAAACGCAAAGCGTTGCATACTGGTGCTGGTGGCTCATAAAGCTGACATAATTGCACTGGCCGATAAGGTACGAGAGTTGATTTTGATGTTGATGTTGATGTAGTTGTTGGATGAAGTCGTCCTTGCCCAGCTGGCGTCGACCCCAAAGTCGACCCCCCCAGAGCCGACCCCAAAAATTAACTGAACTGAACTGAACTGAACTGGCTTTGTACCAGATCTTCATCGCATTTTTGGTTCGAGTTTTGGTTTCAGTTTCAGTCTCAGTCTCATTTTCGTGTAAAATGCCAAATGGCCAACCATTTTGTTAAGGAAGGGGCAAGGGAGCTGCCGCTGCCGCTGCTGCTGCCGTTGCAAACAAGTTGCGGGGCAGACGCATTAAATTTGTACTAACCAGTGGCAAGCATAGGCAACTTGTTCTCCAGCTGAATTTTAGATGTCGAATACTGAATGTTGAATGCTGGCATAATGTGGCGGCATTGCTTAATGTCTGCCTGCCTGCCTGCCTGCCTGCCTGCCTGCCTGCCTGGTCACATTGTGCAACGAGTGTCATTATGCATGACTTTTTTCCGAGAGTGTGGCCAGGGCTTCAGGCATTAATGTCACATGTTCATTCATGTTCCATGGTTCTTGCCTCAATGACTGGGCACGCAGAAAAACAGGGGCCCACAGACCAGGCCAGACCAAGTAACTCCGCCACTTAATAGCTACAAGCTACCATCCATATATCCATATATCCATATAACTATACAATCATATATCCATCCTTATCCATCCATTTGTGGGCTATTAACATGCTCAGACTGAGACTGAGACTGAGGCTGAGAGGATGGGGCGAGATTTGAGCTTCGTTAAGCCGCAACAAACGAGGCTCGTTAACGGCTCGAGGAGAAAGATGCTCGTGTCCACATAAACTGCTATGGCTGCTGGGCCTTTAAGCGGGGCTCTAATGAACCGTTGATGGCGGCCTTACGCAAGCCACTTACCATCTACAGTGCCGCTGGAACTAGTTCTGTGGCATTCCAGCCCAAGATGTCTGAGGATACCCCCGAGCAAAACATACCCGCAAATAGATCCAAAGTCCAGCTTAAGAAAACAACAATGGAATCACCACTCAAGATTAGCTAGCTATTAGCTGTTATCTGGTTCATGGAACATGAACATTAGCACTGAGCAAAAAGCAAAAAGCAAAAAGCTAATTTCCTTTTGGCAAATCCTTCAGTTCAGAAGTACAGCAACGTTTTGTTCCCAATCGCCGCGCCGAGGCAAATTTAATTGGAAAAGGCGTTGCCAGTTGCCAGTTGGCCTGGCCTGGCCTGGCCTGGCCGGGCCGGGCCATTCACCGCCAGACAGGCAGCAACGGCAGCACACCGGCTTGGATCGTTCTTGGAACGCAAAGGTTAATGCTGGCTCGCGGTGGATTCTGGCGGGGAATTTGTGCTGCTTATTAGCCGAGTCATGTGGCGTTTGTTTGCTCACTGATCACAATAATTATAGACGCTCGTTGGCACTAATAAATCTTGCTACTGTACAGTGTTACACGCTCGCGTACGTACACCCCATCTTGGACTCGCGAGTCGCGGTCAGCGTCGGAGTTGGACTCTTCGATAAGCCGTCGAAGGTCGATGCTGGAGAGCAGCCTCTACGTATTTTTAATAATATCATTTTTCGTATATGTTTAAGTACTCGGCCGAGTGGCGTTTTTGAAAGGCATTTCAAATTTGATCATTTTGTTTAATTGCCCATTCGAAGTCCGTGCAGAGAGAACTTGGCCAACGGCCAATGGATAATGGCCAATGGATAATGGTCGTTGCCGCTGGCCGGCGCTGTTAAATGAGCCGTAAAGTTGGAAATCACTTAGGCATTTGTAGGCATTTGTGCAGCGCCAATCGACGGTGCTACCCTTTGGGTAAACAGCTTCAGGCTTTCGGCTTTCGGCTTCAGGCTTTCGGCTTTCGGCTTCAGGCTTCAGAGGTTCTTGAAAGAATTCAAATTTGACTTTTCAATAAAATGCAATAAAAGAACCCGTTCAAAGCTCACTCTATACTCTATGATGCAGCCGAACTCCATGTAGTTTTAAGCACCTCCCCTCTGCATTTTGACATTAAATAAAATGTGTGAAAATACGCCTAATACAAGACGTTCCCGTACGGACTTTAGCGCTCATAATTGACACATAAAGCCACGCACAGATGGCGCGCTGCGGAATCGTACGCAGATTTCAAAATTTACATAATAAACAGGGCGATAAATATTTCATTTATGGAGCAGACCCAAATCCAAATCCACATCCAGATTCAGATTCAGATTCAGTGAGGGCATTGGTTTATTGCCAATTTGATTGAGTTTTGTGCGGCAGGGGGGGGGGAGGTTTGCATAATCAACGGTGGTGTGGGGTGGGGAGGTGTGTGTGTAAAGGCGAATAAAACTCTCATCTGCCGACAAATCAGAGCATTCATTTCATTACAAAAATCTATGCACAAAATGAAATGCTGATGTCTGCGGTTTGTGGTCAATAAACTTATTGACCGACTTAGATATGACACCTGTACATAACTCAACATGCATACAAACATACAAACATACATACATACATACTGATGTGTAAACTGATGTGTGGATGGATGTGTGAATGTGTGATATTGAGACGCCCCCTCGCTGGTCTGCCTTCGACGCGTCCAGCCGTCCACTGTGCTCCACTTTCATGGCATTTACTTTCGCTTTTTTTTTTCGTTTCTCTGTTTTGGCTGCTCTTTCGCCTCTGGCGGCCCAAAACGATCACACACACATACGTGTGCCTTCGCCTTCGCCATCGATGGGCACAAAGCGCCGGCTGTGTTGTGCGTTGACGGCTGTGGCTGCCGTTGGGCTAAGTCAGGGCTTATCTCGACCCAGCCATCGCCATCACCATCACCATCACCATCGCCATCGCCAGCGACTCTTGTCTGTCAACGACCTTGAGACCGTTACCGGTTTCTTTGGGCCAGGCCAAGACGGTCCGTCCAAATGCGTGGCTAGTTGACTCTTGCATGTCGCTGTCTCTGTCGCTGTCGCTGTCGCTGTCGCTGTGTTTGTGTGTCTCTGCCCATCTTCAAACATGTTCCGCGATGGCTGGGGGTCAACCCACTTGCAAGGGGCTTAACCCCAACAAATTCTTTGAATTAATTCACCAAAGGCTATGAATTCAACGAACTCTAGACTCGTGCTCCTCTCATTCCAAGCTCCTGCCTGCAGGGAGGCTCGGTGCGAGTATTTTATTTGTGTGTGCAAGTGCTTCAATCATGACTAAAGCACACACAATTCATAAGCGAAGCGAATTAATACCCAATAAAATACCTCCTTTCTGGTGGCTCTTTGATTTATGTGGCAATTAACTGTATGCTTGTGCTGGGGCGGAGGGGGGCTTGGGGGTTGCCAAATTTCAGCAGCTAAAGCGATTAATAGGAGAGCGCTAATCAGTGGGGCTGCCCCTGCAAGCGCTTTCAGGCCCGGGACTGACCTATGGCCACAGCGCAGCAGCAGCAGCTTAGCCCAGTTAGCAAGTTCGTTGCCTAAGTCTTTTGTTTGGCACACATTACCGGAGCCGGTACGAGGGGGGGATTTCGGTGCGCTCTTTTCCCTGCACTCTCCCTGCACTCCTGGCTGCCATATATATATATATTTCATATACATTTATTTAAGTGGAACTTACCCGTGAAAGAAGTCGAACAGGCTCTGGAGTGGATTAGCTGGCGGAAAGCTTAATTGCAATGCGAACTCGGAGGCGTTTGGACAGCACCCAAATATATAATTGAGTTCATTAACAATTTCAAAATGCACACCACACACAAACAAAATGAAATAAAACAACCGAAAAAACCGAGAAACCGGAAGAAAAAACAATAAACAAACAAAAAACGTAAAAAAGTTTTCAAATTAAAAGAAAAAAGGCGACAACTAAACGGCCCGCAAAATGTCACTTGGTCTTGTGAAAGATTCACGCATAACTGAAAGCCGCCTCGGAGTCGAGTACGGAGCCCACTTGGGGCCAGGCCAAGCAGCAACCACAGAGGTAGGGGAGACGCCAGCCAACTGACCAAGAGAGAGTCAGTGAAAGAGACAGAGAGAGAGCCAGACAGAGAGCAGGCGAAAGAGGAAAAGGAAAGCCAAGCCAAGCCAAGCCAAGCCAAAGCGACAAGTAAAAAGCGATTTAATAAAACGTGCAATCAGTAGAAAGTGACACAAGGCCCGCTTCACTGCCCAAAGTAGTTGCTCCATTGGGCAAAAGAGAGCCAAGCCGAGACCAGCAAAGAGCGAAAGAGAGTGAGTGCAGAAAGAGAGAGAGGGAGAGAGAGAGAGCAAGAGAGATGCGCTGCCAAGAGTGGAATTAAATCCAAGACTACAACAAAGTTGGAAAAGCAATTAGGAAAAGTTACGGCTCTAGCAATATTCTTTGATAAATAATTCACATAATATTCCAACGTATTCCCAGCGGTTTATCCCCCTGCCAATACTCCATACCCCGGCTTCCATCGATGGCCAGCTCAATCCGTCTCATGGCTGTTGATCTGCCCTGAACTTTGATTTTGCCAAATGAACTCTGGCAGTGTGCGTACAAGGTGCAGCAGCAAGGCAACATGGGCTTGGTGACCCAGCCAAACCCCAGCCCAAGCCCATATTTCGTGTGCTTCCGCCTTTGTCTGCTTCTCGCTGTCCATGGAGTGCGTGCCCGAGGATCCTTACACGAAGATGGGACTTACGCGTGGGCGGACCTTTTCGGGCGGTGGCGGGGGAGGGGGTTGACTGGTGAAATGCCTCAGCGTGGACTGGACTGGAGTGGGACGCTGTTGCATCACAGACGCTGGCCAGGCCAGCACAGGCGGTTACGGCATTTGATTTAATGCCTGTTTTACGCTTTCTTGGCTGCCCAAGTGACCGACAAGTCGCCGTCTGTTTCTTTCTCTTTATTTAAAAACTAACCAAAAAAAAAAAGATGTGTACAAACAATATGGTTATAGCAATTGCACGTTAAAACGTTGAACGGTTGCGAAACCTAGCTAGAATGGCTCGTCGTAGGCGTCGTAGGCCCATGATCGTTTGCTGGCCGACGGCTTCCAGTGGTGGCCGCCGCCGCTGCTGCTGCTGCTGCTGCTGCTCGAGAAGACGCCTGTGGAGGCCTTCGAGGCACCGCCCAAGGCGCCCAGGGCGGCGTTGAGCACCAGACCCAAGGCACTGTTCACCAGATGGGAGGCCACCTGCTTGACAAAGCCGCCAGAATCGAAGCCACCCGCGGCACCGCCGCCCTCCTTCTTTTTGCGCGGCTTTGGCAGCTCTGCGCTGTCGTGGCGTTCCTCAGAAGCCTCGGCGGGACGAAACTTGGCCTCCAGGAAGCTGGAGAGCAGGCTCTTGGCGAAGGTCAGCGGCTGCGGTGGTCCTTCTTCCTCTGGGTCCTACGAAAGGGACAAAGAAAGGGCAGAGAGGGCGTCAAAAACCATTCGTCAGTGTGGCAGTTTGGGAGTTAGTTGAACAGTTAGGGGTCAGGGTGTGGGCGTGGGTGTGGGTGTGGGTGGGGTGAGGGTGAGGGGTGTGAGATGGATGGATAAATACTGCGCTTAGTGAGGCCACCACAGTGCCCAGGAAGTTGCCCAGAAACTGTCCATTGTTCACCTAAATGTTTGGAGGGAACGAAGCTGGATGAGCTGGAATTCTGCTGAAGAAGATCAGTTAATCTTACCGCTCCACCTCCGCCAGAGACGCCCTCGAAGGCGGTGCCCACGTATTGGCCGAGGACAGTGCCAAAGTTTTTGTTGCCGGACAGCAGGCCCGCCAGCAGCGAGGTGGAGCTGCTGATCAGAGTGTCAATGTCCAGGCCACCAGGCTGGCGAGAAAACACAGAAAACACACAGCTAGAATTTAGCGGGGGATGGGGCCCAAACAGGCTGCGGACTCACCCCAAATAAAGTGGAAACGACGCCAGTGAGGGCTCCAATCAGGGCGCCCACATCCGAGCCGCCTTCGCCCTAGAGAATCAATCAATCGTGTGAGATGGGGGCAACTCTTGAGGGATTTTGACTGCTACTCACGCCACTGAGACTTCCAATAATTCCGACCAGACCTCCACCGCCTCCGCCTACGCCTGCACCGCCGCCGGCACCGCCATCTGCTCCATCCTCTCCAATTTCTTCCAGCTCATCATCATCGTCGTCGCCTCCCTCCTTCATCAGTTCGGTGGAGTCAGGCTCCACGTCTTGCTTGGCACTCTGCTGCTTGGCCTTCGGATCGGAGTTTGGCTTTGGCTTGGGTTCGGGTATGGGTTTTGCTTTTGCTTTTGGCTTGGCTCTCCCTTTGGCTGTAACATTTCGCGACTTCAAGAGCCCGTTAGTTGGGTTAAGACTAGACCATGTCAGCAGTGGGTTAAGTGGGTGGCAGAGCCATGTCACCATGTCACCATGTCAGGGGAATGGGGTTGGGTGGGTCTTTGGGTTAGTCACACGGATCGCGGATCGCCCGCTTCTCTACTCACTTTAAAGTCCAGCTCCTCCACGTCGTCCCGCAGGTCGTCCAGCTCCGAGTCGGCGGGCTCCTGCTCCTGCTCCCTCTCCCGCTTCTTGCTTTGTCTCTCTGGCTGCTGTTCCACCAGATTCTCCCGGAAGTCCTCCTGGAAGTGCAAGTGATCGGTCTTGGATTAAATGCGGGCCACAGTCCCCCATCCCATGCCACGGCGTGGCACCTACCTCTGTCAGAATGGACTTGATGATGCGCATTTCGTCGGGAAATTGTCGTTCCCCCTCCGTCTCCAGCGCCACATCGTCCCCTTGGACGGCTCGCTTTTGGATGACCTTCTGCCTGGCCTTGGCCAGCACCCCGTCCTCTGAGGCCTGCTCCAGGAGATGGCTCAGCGCCTTCTCGATCTTCGCGTCCAGGTCGACCCTCATTTGTGGCACCTGCTTGAGGATCTGCCTGCGCAGCTGGCCCAGCCGCTCCCCCAGCTCCGGCTGCTGTCCGCCCGTGATGTCCGCCGAGAGCTCCTGCTGCAGCAGCTCGTCCTCCTTCTGCTGCGCGGCCAGCTCGCGCAGCTCCAGCTGGAACTCGTGATCATCCTTCGTGCTGGAGAGCACGTCCAGGGCGCTGCTCAGGATGTCCAGGGCGCGCTGGTCCCGCGTCAGCTGCTGCTCGATGGCATCGATCTTGGGCATCACGCGATCGCCGCTCTGCGGCAGATCTGCATCTGCTTCCGTCTGCATCAGCAGCAGCTCCTTGATGGCCTCCACCAGGTGCTCCTCCATGAGCTGCTCCGCCTGGCGGGCTCCGTTCAGCACGCCAATGCCCGTGAGGGCCCTCAGCTCCTGCCGTGGCAGTGTGCGCTCCAGGCGGCGGTAGGCGGCCACGGCGCGCCGGTAGTGGGACTGCAGTTGCATGCGGCTCGGCCGGCTGCTGGCCGGTACGATCAGGAAGAGCAGGAGCAGCACTCGGAGGTTGTCCATCAGCTTGTCGCGGCGGCTCAACAAAAACTGCGCCCAGGAGACGAACGCACTTTTTATTATAACATCGAATGCAGGGGCCATCGATACAATCGATCGATACAATACGATACGTTTCCGCTCAGTGAGCTGTGGGCGTGGCACTCCTCCTCCTCCTTCTGCGATTGTTGTGCAATCTCTCTGTCCATCGTTTTGTGGAGCCATCCATGGGTTAGCCATCCATGTCCATGGGTCTGTTTGTCATATGCTAACTAGCTTTGCGTTGCCTTTAATCTCAGGTAAATGGTGGTTCCATCCCATCGGTTCTGCTCTGCATAAAGGCGGGCACAAAAGGATTGATAAACTCCGCCATCGATGGCAGTCTGGGGCACATTTTATGCGGCAGATAGAGTCGGATATTTTAGCTCCTCGAACCCGAAAAAATAGCAAAGAACAAAGAACCGAGAAGCGTGCATTAGTCCCTCCATTAGGCACAGATCAAACCCATAAGCCATTAGCCATTAGCCAATTTTCTAATGGGGCCATTTCCCTAGCGGCCCCAAAGGTGACTTATATAAAAGGGGAAAACCATTTCGGGAAAGAGACGGCCAGCAGCAGCACAGGTGTCGCAGCAATGCGTGACTGTTAATTACCATTAGCTGGCTCTACAGTTGCCTCCACTCTCGGTACAGGCAGCAGCACATCTCGATGATCTCTCGGTGATCATCCGTAGACCCTGGGGCATGCAGGGAGATTACGTGCCGGGGGCTGGCTGGCTGGCGATGCGAGCCGAGGCGAAGCGAAGGCGAAGTCCAAGCCGCAGTCGGTGGCGTCACGCTCGTTTAACCTCTCAAGTGCGACAAAGACAAAGGGCAATGGCTGTGTAGGGTGGGGAGGTTCAACTCGGATTGACATGACATAAGCGACTAAACGCAACTCCATAAACCCAAAGCGTGCGTCCCCGGGCTAAGGGGAAGCTTGTACGATTGTGCCGATATTTGCCGTAGCAGCCATACGATATAGTAATCAAATACGAGTACAGCCTACTCGTATGTACGTTTATTTCAGTGTAAATTCCCCTCATGAACTGGCAATTGTTGTGCCCTTTAAATGCTTCAACTGCCCTGAAATCGGAGTCTCTTAATTAGCTCTTCTAATGCCACTTTTATGATCTCAGATATCTCAACATTCGTGTTGGCTTTCATGGCTTTCATGGCTTTTAAACACACAAAAACAAAACACTCCTCAAACATGCTCAAATTAAATCAGCCTTCAGGCTAAAGACATGTCGGAATGTATTCATTCATTTCTTTTGCAAATGATTTAACTTATTTTAAGGGCTGTATGTTCTGATTTCCCATCAGAATTAGTTCAAGTTTAGTCTCCTGATTGGTCGTTTCTTTCCCCTGCTTTTAATTGTCAGCTCGCAGTAGCAGCTGCCGCTGACTTGTGGTTTCTGTTTGTCTTGTCTAATGTCTGGCAGTTTTAATTTTATCTTTGGCTCACAAAAAAAATCCCTTTTGTTGCTGAACCGCAAACGGAAGCGGAAATGCCAGTGCCATTCAAGCGCTAACGAGCCATCGGCACTTGACATTGTGGCTGCGAGAATGAGAGTGGCCGAGAATAGCTGCGGATAGCTGAGGCGAGAATTACGAGCCCAGCATTTGTGCTGGCAATTAGGGTTTATTGACGATTGTTAAAAGCCAAAACAACAGTGCAGAGAAGACAGACAAAATTCCAGCAGCCCGATACGGATACCGATCCATCGATATCAAAAGTTTGTATAAAAAATATATATGCCCGGATTGTATACGTATATTATTAACACATATCTTTGTGCAATAAATAATAACCTTGCCAAATCGTTTGACTTCGTTTCGCTGCTTGGCAACACACACACGCACACACACACACCATACAGAGTGCGAGAGAGAGAGAGAGACAAAAGTTGCACTTCAGCGAACAACTTTTTGATTTCGGATTCCAATTCCGATTCCGCTGCTGCTGCTGCTGCTGGTGCCGCTGCCGCTGCTGAAAATCGAGATCATGCAGAGAGATCGAGAATTAGTTATAAACTTTGCACTTTTGCGAGCAATTTGTTGCTGTTACACTTGTGTTTATGTTTACTCGTTTACGAGTACCTCCAGCAGGTGAACTTTGACGACGCGATCATAGCCCACGGAATTGGAGCATGGCTACAAAACCATCAACGGAAAACAAGAGAGGAAGGCCGTCATTGGAGGGGGCCCGAGGCACACACAAAAATCCAAACAAGTCCGATATCTAGCACATGCGCATCCTTCTGTGCCCAAAAACCATAAAGCCTTTCGCAAGGGTATTCGAAAACAAACGAATCTATCATCAATGAGAAATCGCCGACGACTGACTGCCTTGGAGCCTCCATCCGAGCCGAACGGAACCGGAGACAGAGCCCCAGCCAGAGCAGGAGCCAAGCCGAACACAACAACAAAAACGAGAGGGAACGTTGTGAGTCGCTTCTGTGGCCGCGACTCTATTTTTATACCCCTCCTCAGTCCCGTACTCAGTAAGAATATTTTATAGTCCGAGTCCGAGTCCAAGTCCAGGGCCCAGTGCTACGTTCAGTTTTGTATTAAAACAAAATGTCGTCCTCGTCGCCGTTAGGTCCTTGTGAGCGCCACTGGCTCTGGGGCAGAGATCTTGGATCTCTAAGACCCGAAAAGGAGCGCCGCTGCTGCTTTACTCTACTCTGGCAATATTTCTATTCACTATGATAATAAAATCGCACAACAACTTTGCAGGGTGACAGTCCCTCCATCTTCCTCTCTAAGGGAAACTTGGCGGGCACTGGCCACAGATTTCAAGTGTTGAAGCTTCTTCGATACTTTTTTAATATTCCAGTGAGGCTTCGAATATATTTAGTGATGGTAAGAACAAATTTAGATACATGTAGATCTGATTAAAGGGTTTCTGTTACGGCAGACTCTGATCGGCCCTGCTTGCGGAGCCCCTTGCAGTCGGCGCAACAGGATTTGGTCAGAGCTTCGCTGAGGATGCGCGTCTCTTCAGCTTCAGCTCGTTCTCCAGACAGTCGCGCAGATCGTCGCGTCGTCGTCGCATTAAGTCAAACTGGGGCTGGTTGTGGGTAGCCATAGAGCTGTGGTCGCACGCGGCGAGGTTGTCGATGACTAGCAGGTCAGTCAGGAATTTTCGCAGCACGGGGCAGTCGTCCAGGGCGCTGCTGGGAGTGCTGATCCTCATCGGCATGGATGTGGCGGCAGGCGACTCCAATTCGGGGATTACAAACCGGGTGAAGGGACTGTGGGACTCGGCGCTGATGTTCCTGGGTGTGCCCGAACTGCTGCAGGGTGTGGTGGTGGAGCGCGGCCGCCCATGGGTCAGCTTGGACGTAGCAACAGCGGAGGAATACTGCCAGAAGCCGCTCGATACAAAGCGCCTGCTTGATCTAATACGCAAAGCAGGTGCTCAGCCAGGAGCAGGCGATCGCCCGCATGGAGCAGACTCTAAGCCGCCAGCGACAGTTCCAGTTGGTGGTGCTGCTCGGTCCGCCAGGTTTGGGCAAGACGCTGACAGTCTCGGCGCTGCTAAACTACTTTTCCCGACCGGGCAACGTGCATGCCCTCTCGGTGATCCCGTGCAGTGCGCCGACTCCTCGGTGTCACCCAAGCCTGGTAGAGCCTGGGAGCAGTGGTTGTCGCTATTAGCCATTGCTTCTCAGAGTGTAAAAAAATTTTAAATTTTGGACGATTTTATAAGTAAACTTTACTGAGAGATTTGATTTATCTGATCTGATTTATATAACTGAATAACTACGACTGAATAACTACGAGCAGTCCCTGCTCTTGTGTATGACAGATGCTACAAGGAGAACTTTGTATTTGTAGAAGTAGAAGGGTTTTTCAGAATCATTTATCAAGGCAAACCACAACCACCAGGCATACCCAGAGTCGGCCAGTATGTGGGGCTTCCTGTTGGGCGAAGACTGTCAGCCATCAGTCACATCACTCAGCTATACAGATTCCTGCTACTAGAGCATGCACTTCATCAACACCTAAACCATACTGCTGATCCAATAAGAACGAGAAGGAATGTTGTGAGTCGCTTCTCTTGCCACGACTCTACTTTTACACCCGTACTCAGTCAGTGTATATTAGTTAGTTTATGATTTATGTGGAATTTTGAAAATATTTTATCTGTTAACATCTGTCATCTTTATATATATTTAAAATGCATTTCTGCCGTGTCGGTAGAGTGTATCCACTTGTACCACAAATCTCATATACCCCTTAACTCTTCAAATACGGATATACAAATTAACATAATAAATAGCTCCATAAATATTAAAAGCAAACTATGTAGTTGCTGCAATTTTTGTGCTCTTTTATGTCGGCAATTTCAGAGTGCTGTTGATATTTTCTGTTTGGCCGCAGGCGGTGATTCGATTTCATTTCGGCATTCGACTCTACACGATGATTATACAATGGGCTTAGCCTCAAAGCCGCTCGCCAGAGTGAGGTCTCCATAGAAATCCTTCGCAGCCAGCTTCCGTCAGCGATTTCTGCGTGCTAATTTCCGCTAATTGCTGGGCAATGCCAATGCAAGACGAAAAGTGTCATGGTGTCGTGGAGAGAGCCCAAGCTACGCTTTGGGAAGAATGTAAAGTAGATGGAAGTACAGCAAAATAACATATGGATTAGGAATAGGACTACAAGTAATTAAAATTCTTATGCAAAGCCACAAAGAATGGATGGAAAATCTCTGGCACCATCCTGATTAATTAATAAAAAATCTATTAGGGCCAGCAGCTTCTTTCCTGATGTCTGATGCCTGAGCCCTGAGCCACTGGCTTTATCCATTTCCCGCATTAATTTAGCGCCGCGTCATGCATTTAATTATTCAGCTTTGGCTATGCGTTTCGGCCAATCACTCCAATCAAAAGCCAGACAGTCTAAATTCAGGCAACGGCTGCCTGATGCCAGTTGCCAGTTGCCAGATGCCTGCCTGATTGATATGCAATCCAGTTC